CAGGGATGAGTGGCCTCCCAGGTTCTCACTTCACAGCCTCTGGGGCTCTCCATACCCATCATGGTTGTATTTCTGAATCATACAGATGCTCCGGGGATGGAGATGAACTCTCAGAAAATCTGACCAAACTCTGATGCTACCCTCCATGGGGATAAGCGGTTTTAGAGTCGCAGCGGTGCGTGGTGGGGGGCCTGAGGAAAAACCGCAGAAAGTATACCTTTGTCCATGTCGCAGGTCTGCCCTGTTCCCCATCCCATAGTATCCAGAGGATCTCACCTTTGCCATTGGGAATGGACTTGACCCTCCAGATACCATCACTACTCAGCACTCCCTGGAAGGGATGAGAAAATTTACATTTAGTTCCTGGCAGTCCAGAGGCTAAATTTGATTCACCCTCCCTGATTTTGCTGCCATACCCCCACTGCCTCCTTTCGGTTCACATAGCCCTTGTCCTTAGGGAAAAAAGATGCTTTTTCTTTTAAGACCATTAGTAACATCCTCTTTTTCCCTGCCCTGTGGAGGCATTCTATTGTAGCACTGGGATTTAAAGTCTAAGGCAGAGGCCCTCACCTCTGCGCTCAGAAGGTCCTGGAGGTAAGGGTTCCTGGGATAAAGTTCCTCTTTGTGTGTGGTGAGCTTCCCCTGCCTGAAAGAAATCGGAGATTTGATATTGTGAGAGTCACCCCTGAGTCTCTAGCTTCCCAAACACCCCTCTCCATTCATGGCAGATACCATGCTATTGCAGCATCTAGCTGTTTGTCCCTGTAGAGTCCACCTTCTTGTTTCAGGGAGCTCAGGCTACCTGTACAAAAATAATGGACAGTGTTAGATTCAAGCCCAGCCCCTCCCTCTTCAGCTAATCCTCTTTTGATTACCTCACAACCTACTCCCTCCAGCACCTGGCTTTTCACGCTTTCTTGGTGTAAAACAAAACCCTGGCCTAGGAAATCTAGAGTCCATCCTTCCATTCCCAGCTTAGTCATTAGTTGTGGGGCCCGGGGCAGAGGCCAACCCAGTAGCCCTACAGGAAAGCCCCTGTTCAACATGCCACTGTCTCGGGGTGAGCAGTCCATTCCAGAGAGGGTTTCTGAACATAGAAAGTTTGTCCTCCTCGCGTCTCTCTGTGTTGGCCCAACGCGGTTAGCTCTCCCTTCGCTCAGCTCCGGTCCTTCTGCCTTGTAAGGTGGGACGATCTTGAAGCGAACGGATGCTGGAAACTCCGCACGCGAAGGGGACAACCGGGCAGGGGCAGACCGCTGGCGCCGCCTCACCCTTCAGGTCCATGAGGATGAGCCTCGGCGTGTAAGTCTCCTGGCCGTGCAGCGTTCGGCCGGTGCGGTACAGGACGTCGGGGCACAGCTCTCCCGGCGGCTCCTTGGCATCGGTCGGCCCGCCCAGCGCCGCATCCTGGGGAGGCACAGAGCGAGGACCGAACTCAGGCTGGCGAGAGGGACAGGCCGGAAGCAAGGGCTGGAGACGCCGAAAGCTTCTCGGGGCCCGCCTCCTGGAGACCTCACCTGCTGGTTCCACCAGTGCGCCCCCACGAAGCCCGAAAAATGTCCCAACTGCAGCGTGAGCACCTCCCGGGCCCCGCCCGCCATGCCGCGCAGCCCCCCGGGGTAGCACAGCGCCCTCCGGGCCGCGCGCGGCTCGCGGCCGATTGGCCCGGCGGGCTGTGGGCGGGGCCGCATTCCCTGCGCCCTATTGGCCCATAAACACGTCCTCGCCCGTAGAACAGCGATTCGTTGGGCCCCAGTGACACGCTCGTCGGTCCCCGCCCCTTCCTAGCGGGCGCCGCGCGGCGGGGCGGGGCCGGAAGCTGCGGGAGCCCGGGCGCCACGCTGCGGGCTCCTGGGCGCCGCTTCCCGCTCCCGCGACGTGCTCCTGCCCGCGCCCGCTCCCGCTCCCGGGACAGGGCTCCTGGCTAATAACGCCTCCGGCAAAAATAAGACCCAGCGGGAAAAGTAGACGCCCCCCTAAAGGCTTCCACGCTCCCCCTCTTCCAAATCTTAATGCCCTGTAAAGCCTGTGGCTTGCCCCCGCGTCTCTCGCCCTCTGCCCGTCGGTCCGTCCAGTCTAATATGTCTACCTCCGTCGTCATAGTGCTGAGGAGCACGAATTCTTTTGCTCCATATGCTTTGTGACATTCTTTTCTGTTCTTGATACAGTTTCATGGCTTCAGAATAACCTTTTGTATGACTGTAGCACACGTGATTTGTTCTGCTGGTAACTGATGTTTGGGATTGTTTCCAATTTTTGTCCCATTAGGTGCTACAGTTAACCACCCCGTTCATGCGCCTCTGCACACATTTTTCTTTCTTTTTTTTTAGATTTACTTATTTATGCATACAAGAACTGGCGTGTAGGCCTGAGGGGTGTGTGTGCGCGGGAGAGAGAGGATTCATGAGAAACAGTGGGGAGCAGAATAGACAGATCTACTGAAACACACTGCTGAGGGGTGTAGCAGGGCAAGACAGGAGGGGTCTGCTGCGTCCTGTGGGTCAGCTCCCTGTGCTCAACCTGCTGAGCCACTGGGGAGGCCCTCTAATTTATTATTCTTTAAAGATTTGTTTATGCATCCAAGAGCTGGGGTACAGGCCAGAGGTGTGTGTGGGGGGCGAGAGGATTCACCAGAGACAGAGTAGAGAACAGAAGAGGCAGACTGACTGAAATACACTGCAGTAGGTGTATACTGCAGCAGGGGAGCAGCAGGTGAGTCAGGAGAGGTCTGCTGCACCATGCAGGTAGCTCCTGACTGGCCGGGGATCGAACTCGTGCTGCAAAGGCTGAGAATTGCTCCATAGTGCTGTGCTTAACCCCTCGTGCCACCAGGGAGGCTCCCTACTCTAATTAATTAATTAATTAATTAATCAATCAATTAATTTTAAGATTTATTTATTTCTACAAGCACTGGGTACAGTCAGAGGCACAGGAGGGTGAGAGAATTCACCAGAGCCAGAGCAGGGAGCAGAGCAGGCAGAAGGACCGAAGTACACTGCTGAGGGGAGCAGCGGGCGGCAGGAGAGGTCTGCGCGCCATGTGGGACCCTCCTCCGGTGGCCGGGGAGCAGCCGGGGATCAAACCGGTGCCACAGAGGCCGCGGGCAGCCTCGCAACCCAGCGCTCAACCGCTGTGCCACCCAGGAGGACTCCCTACTCTAATTTAAAGAGAAGGAAGGGTCATTCTTGGGCTACCATGGTGTCATAGGGGTTAAGTTTCAGCACCGTCATGCTATCACCTCTACTGCATGGGAGGCTGTGTTTAGATGTTTAGAAAGCTCACATAGGCAGGGTCTTCCTGGTGGCGCAGGGGATTAGGAAGCAACCTATGAAGCTGTCTGTGGCCACTGCAACATGAGTTCTATCCCCGGCCTGACAGGGAACTGCTCACGTGGTGTGGCAAGCCAAGGATGGCTGGCTGCTCCCCTCAGCAGTGTTTCATTTGATCTGCCTGTTCTGCCCCCCACTCTGTCTCTGTTGGGTCCTCTCACCCTGCCACACCTCTGGCCTGTGCCCTGGGTCTTGTATGCATAAATAAATAGAACTTTACAAAAAAAAGAGTGCCTCCCTGGTGGCGCAGGCAATTGAGCAGAGCGCTGTGAAGTTGTCCGCAGCCTCTGCAGCGCGGGTTTGATCCCAGCTGGCCACGGAGATACCCACATGGTGCGCCAGGCCTCTCCTGCCTCACCCCCTGCTCCCCTCAGCAGTGTATTTCAGTCAGGCTGCCTTTTCTGCTCCCCACTCTGTCTCTGGTGAATCCTCTTACCTTCCTGCACATCTGGCCTATACCCCAGTTCTTGTATGCATGAATAAAGCTTTAAAAAAAAAAAAAGAAAAAAAGAGAAAGCTCACATAGGCAGCCCTCAGAAAGATGGACTTGAGAGTGGAGGCACCAGTGGTTGGGGGAATTCTTTCCAAATTAGCTAATGATTATAGTAACTCAACAAGAATTCATGGGATTCTGAAGGCAGTGGTAGTGGGAATGGAGAGGCAATGAGTTTGCGCTACTGAAAAGGCAAATCTAGTCCATATTGGGAAGTTATCAAATCAGGGTTCAACCCGAGAAACAAAAATATTAAAAGGGATTTGTTAAGCGGACTCAATCTTTTCCAATGTGGGAGCTGGTTAAGCAGTTTTTCTAAGGCTGCTATCTTTAAGTCTGATGCTAGAACATTGGTCTAGCTAGACTGACCAGGGATAGGGCCAGGGTAGACATTCTATCTCTGATGGGGTGGCTTAGGGGTAAGGGAAGCTGGATCTGTAGTGAAGGAGCTGATGGACACTCACAATTCCCCTCACAGCAATGCCTCAAAGCAAGCATTATAAAATCCAAGTCAGAAACACAGCTACCTACCATTAATGGGACTTACATCTGTGAAGTGCTTTACATATATGATTTCCACAAAACCCCTGGAAGTTTGGCATTATTACCATTACATAAAGATGAAATTAGACAAGGAAGTAGGCTAAGAGACTCTAAAGACAGATAGCCAGTAAGTATCAGATCTAGGAATCAGGATTCTAACATTACACCAACAACCTAGTAAGGTGAGAGAATTTGACTGAAATTGACTTGAGTCTATTTTCTTGACTTGACTATTTTCTCAACTCTCCCAAAGACAGTGTGCAGATAGTACTATACTGTTTCTATTAAGGATATATTAACTCATTTCATACAAAGCATGCTATAGGGGTTTAGTACTTAATATTTTCAGGTACCGGTAGAAAGGGGCTGTGCCATACAGAGCTGCCAGACATAGCTAGAGTTTTAGTAAGGTTCTCAGGGATCACTGATAATCATGTAAAAATAGGAATTAAATGGGAAATGTGTGAGAGGGAGAAGTTATGTAAAAATAGAAATAATGGAAATTTCTGTAGATTTTAGTCTTTTCGGGTCCCTAGCAAGCAGTATGCCTGAGAAATGCAATCTGGCCAGTCTAAATACTCTACATATTATATATAAATTTGACACAACAGTTTTAAAAAGATATTTAATTTTAAAAGTATTTATAATTATTTCACATCTAATAAACTGATATTAGTTTCAGGAACAAGCAGCTGTCTTGTCGTCAGTAGAGTCACTTCACAAAGTAACCCATTTCAATGAAGGTCTGGAGCTAACTGCGGTGCTGTCCAGTCCCATGAGGACAGGGGCTGGCGGCTCTCTTGGGCACTGTGAACTCCCCATCTGATTGGGGCCATTAAAGTAAATGTCCACTGTCTTCCATGCATGCCGTGATCCTGGCTTAGAGGTAGGCACAGAGTCGCTCCAGCTGCCCAGGATTCCCATTACTCAGGAATAGCAGTTCCTTTTTTCCTTCTTCTGTGTGAGCTACAATGGAGTCAAACAGATCACTGGCCATTATTTCCTACAGCATTGTTACCTATGTAATCTTCAGCAGAGGCTATTATCCAGATTATATTCGGCTTTAATTAGCATTCTCCCAGGGATCTCACTTTTAGATCATTTATCCCAATAGAAACTCTGTATTATTTTTCTATACATAATTTTCCATTTTGTCTCCACTCCCCCAATCCACCACCGACTCCTGCCCTCTGCCCAAGAATATTGTCTGGGCTTTAGGACTTTGTCAAATCTCCTGATCCCATTAGAAATCCCTCCTTTGCGCCTCCTGACCCAGGATGCTGCAGGTCCCGCGACTGCAATAACCTGTTAGCAACTGCGGTTAGCTCTTTGTTTCTAGTGATAAAACCACCTTATTTCCTCCCATACTCTCGCCCCCAGAGTGGAGGGAAAGGGGGAACTGGGCAATGGAATACTTTTATACGTGTAGTGTAGCAAGCATTTGGTTTGGTCCTGGGGTGCCTCTCACACAGTGGCAGCTACTCTGTGGGTGTCCCAGAAGGTGAGTCTCCCAATTGAAATTTGCTGAATGGTGAATGAATGCAACAGTGAGAGGGTGGCAGCAATGACAGAACTGTTACATTTCAAAAAGGATAAACCCCTGGCGACTCGGCCCAGCATCTGGCCTTGGGCTGGCCTCCTCTCTTAACGTGGGCGTGTTATTCTAGACTAATATAAGAATTTAAGGAGAGTGAGAGGTTTGTTTTTTTTTTTTTTTACATTTTCAAGGGACAGGTTTATTAGAAACAGGAAAGGAAAAGGAAAAAGATACATACCTATGCAGACAAAGGCGGGCAGGCTTGGGAGGAGAGGCGGAATTTTTTTTGTAAGTTAAACCTTAACTACCCACCCCCCACCATTCTGTACCATCTAATCAGGTGGAAAGACAAGATTAAGAGAAAAAAGATGAAATTCAAATTACAGGGCACTGCTGAAGAAAGAAGAGATCAAGGTTCTGATTCAGCGGGACTCTTTTTGTGAGCACAAAGCCTTGATAGGCAAAACAATTAAACAACTGACCTTTCTCATGTTGAAGCCAATTGTTCTCCAAGTAATACTGAATACAACTTTCAAATTCCTTTGGGTTATAGTTGGAAACCAAGATGGGAATAAAGGGATCCAGGGCATCAAAACCTTCCTGAAGAAGAAAAAGTATAAAAGACAGAGTTTGTGAAATGACAAAGAGATCAGTTCTATTGAAGCACTTTAAACGCAAGGTCTTTGCTTTTCTTCTACTCAACCCTTCACTCTCTGGCTCCCCTGCCTTACATAGGGCTCCTCACATAGCAGGCTACTGTCACTCTGTATGGCCACAGACATTATATTTCAAAAAGAGAGAATACCTGAGGGGGGATGCCACTTGTCTCTGTGTGTGTATGTATACACAAACACACATACATTTATATACTTCACAGTTCTAACTTCGACAACAGCTTTGACAATTCATATACTCAAAAACCATAAAATATCTATTAATGAGGATAGGGAGAAAGATCTTAAGCAGAACATAAACTGAAATGAATGAATCAATCAAGAGTGTATTTCAGCAAACTGGTCCAACCACTATGGAGAGCTGTGTGGAGATTTCTGGACCTACTAAACATAGAGCTTCCATATGATCCAGCAATTCCACTCCTAGGTATTTACCCAAAGGACACAGAAACATCAATTCCAAAGAGCACCTGCACTCCTATGTTTATAGCAGCACTGTTTACAATAGCTAAGCTTTGGAAACAACCCAAATGCCCAAAAATAGATGACTGGATCAAGAAGATGTGGTACATATATACCATGGAATATTACTCAGCATTCAAAAAAGATAAACACATGCAATTTGCAGCAACATGGATGGCACTGGAAGGGATCATGCTCAGCGAAATAAGCCAAAAAGAAAAAGAAAAATACCGGATGGTCTCACTCATAGCAGGAATCTAGAAAACTTAAATAAAGGACCAGGAAAATGAATATAAGAAAGTGAAAATCAAAATCAACAAAAAACTATGAACCAGAGACACTTTTTGGGGGGTGGGGGGCGGGAGGGGAAGGATTGGGGTCAGAATGGGGCGTTTGCAATTGTATGGGGGAATATAAAAATAAAATTTAATATTTAAAAAAAAAAAAAAAAAGAGTGTATTTCAACTACAACACTGAAGGGGAGGGGGAAACTAAGGCAAGCTAACTTCCAAACAGAGAATTTAAACGAAGGACCCTAAGGCTAAAGATAAAAACTATCTTAAACAAACACTGAGCTCTAGTTTAGTTTTTCATGGTCAAGGGCTAACAATTCTGAAACTACTTTTACTGTAATACAACACTGAATGGGGCTTCCCTGGTGGTACAAGGGGTTAAGATGCAACCTATGAGGCTATCCGCAGTCACTGCAGCAAGAGTGCCATCCCCAGCCAGGGAGCAATCCACATGGCATGGCAGACCTCTCCTGACTCGCCCGCTGCTCCCCTCAGCAGTGCCTTTCAGTCAGTCTGCCTGTTCTGTTCCCCACTCTGTCTCTGGTGAATCCTCTTACCCCCTGCACCTCTGGCCTGTACCCCAGTTCTTATATGCATAAAAAAAACAAATCTTTACAAAAAAAAAATACAACACTGAATGGATCAGTAAATACAGTATGGAAAAGGAGAGCAAACTATTGTTGATAATGAGGGTTTGACCTTGGAAAGGGGAAAGGATATAGTGAATGCTGTGATGCCAGCACAAATCAGTACTATTAGTACGAACTCATGGTTTCGTAATATTGAGAAGCAGACGTAGATGTGTATAAACACACACATGGCCATGGTACATACACATACTCACATAGGTCTGTATACATGAATAACACATGTATCTATTTGCTAGTTCTGCCGGAGGGTCCAGAATTGAAACCCCAGGAGCACACTTGGGTCTTGGTTTCTAAATACCATTCTCCTCTAAAACCAACCAAGTCTCCTTACAGAAATGGCTGATTCCAGGACTAGGGCATGGAAGTACAAGTGTAGCCTGAACACATTTTTGTGATAAAATGTACAGAAGTGCTTAAAGAATGATGGGGGCATGTAAAAAGGACATAGAAGCCAGCTTGAAGGGGCTCCTACTGGCCAAATAGGAGGGAATTCAGCATCAAAATACTGTTTTGCAATTATAATAATTCATTTAGGGAAGAATCAGCAATGGATGCTAAAACGAGTATGGGGATGTTTGAGGAATAAGAGGATAGTTACCTAGTTTCAAATTTTATCTCAACAAGATACTCATTTACTACAGAAGGAAAATAATAACTTTACTGAGGGAAAACCTGAAGGATACCACCTTAAATAAGTGTTCAAAGTTAGCATCACTAGTAACAGGAGAGATTTCACAAGTGTCCTGATAAGATGCACTGAGAAGACACGCTACCACTTCTGACATCACATGTAATAAGGAGAAAACATCAGACAATCCCATAAGATAACCCATAACTGGCATGTACTCTTCAGAATTAGAAAGACAAACATTAAGACTGTAAAAGGCAAAGTCTCAGGAGATATGCCACCTTGAAGAAAGAAGACATGACGACTGAATGCAAGGCATTATCCTGCACTTTCTTTTTCTCTAAAGGATATTGGGATAGCTGGCAAAGTAAGAACAAGTTCTACAGATTAGGCAAGAGCATCACACTGATGTTGATATCCTGATTTTGATAACTGTGCTGTGGTTACACATTAGACTGTGTTTAGTTTTAGGAAATACACATTATTTAAATATATGTAAAGAGGCATAATGTGGATTACTGTCGCCTAATTTAGAAACAAAGATGGAAAGAAAATAATAAAATAAATACTTTAGGAAATCAGGTGATATTATAAAGGAATACAGTATTTCTCTAAGTCTCAAATTATGTAAAAATAAAAAAGGATGTCTCTTCAGACAGAATGTCTATCTAAGGGGAAGCCAACGTTGTAATGTGTTGACCTTTCCCAGCAACTCCTGGGGCAGATAGGCATTCCGGGGCTTAAAGAGAGAACCAGTCTGGCTCAATGTCAACACAATGGCACCTCCATGCTGAAAAAAAGGAGAAAAAGGTGAATCAGAAAAAACTGGAAAAGAGAGTAAAATGTATTTCAACCATCTGTAGACTTTTCTTTGACATACAGTGTTCTGGCAGGTATTGGGAAGGAGTACAGTTAAATGGCAACTAAAATTAGAAACAAACACTAAGGTTATAAAAGACAAAGTCTCAGGAGATAATGCCACCTTGAAGAAGGCTAAAAGAAGGCATGACAACTGAATGCAATGCATTATCCAACACTTTCTTTTTCTCTAAAGGATACTGGGATATTGGTTATTGGTTCTGGATTTTGGCTCTGACAATAAATTGTTACATGACCTTACTTTAATTAATATCTTTTCCAAAGATCGTAAGTAGACATAAAAATTTGAAATACTGCAAAGTAAAATCCCACCAAAATTTAAATGAAACAGTTTTGAATAAGCATACTCTAGTCAATTTGAAAGATCAGAAACCATTTGAAAAACTTTAAGCTTGGTACAGTTAAGGGAATTCAATAAGATATAAAACTTTCTGTCCATAAAATTAGAAACTATAAAGTACCAGCAATGAAATAGTCAAATCTTTATAATGAAAATGTTTCTTTCTGAAATCTGTTACGTATCATATGCACTTACCCAATCATTTTTCAGCATTTTCCTCAGATTGTAAATAAGTGCTAATTCCTCTGGCGCAATCTACACAGTGGTTGTGAGAGAGGGAGGGGAGAGGAAAGAGGGAAAGAAAGGAAGGGGAGGAAGAGATCATTATTGTCCCACTGAGACAACTGAGTGGACAACAACTAAAAAATCCTCAATTACTATATACTCATAGTTCCTGAAGATTCAGCCTCTGAAATAAGCCACACAGCACTGGCACCACCACTGCCACATGCCTGGAGATTAAAAACATGGAAAAAATACCCACTGCCTCAACCTCAAACCACCTCCTTGATGCTTCTGATCTTTCTTTTTTTTTTTAAGATTTATTTATACAAGCAGTGGGTACAGTCAGAGGCACAGGAAGGTAAGAGAATTCACCAGAGCCAGAGCAGGGAACAGAACAGGCAGACCAATGAAATACACTGCTGAGGGGAGCAGCGGGCGGCAGGAGAGGTCTGCGCGCCATGTGGGACCCTTGCCAGAGGCCGGGGATTGAACCGGTGCTGCAGAGGCTGCAGGCAGCTTCGCAACCACTGCTGCGCCACCGGGGAAGCCCACTTCTGATCTTCTGTGTTTGCAATACACAGCCTCATTTTGAGAAGAGAACAGAAAGAAAGAAATTGACAAAGAAATCATAGCTTCTGCTGTTATGCTCTTTTTAAAATTCTCAGTTCTGGGTGGATAGTGGAACCTGGCATCAAATTCTGATGCTATTTTCACTATACATCTTAATTCAAATACTCCTAGAGCAAGAAAATAGACAGTATAGTCTACAAGGTTATGTCCCGGTTGATGTATATGATGGTACCAAGAAATCAGAGAAAGTAGAAAAGAGAAACTCAGTTTTCCTACCAGGGTTTTATCTTCTCTTTTTAGTGTAGTCCTTCCCCAGAGAGCGTTGACGCCATCCACTGCCACCAGGAGGTGGAAAACACCCAAAGAAGTTTGCTTCTTTAGCTCTTTAAGCACAATCCCGACTGCATCTGTGGCACACTTCACTCGCGTTATGCCCTGTGGAGAAACAGACAGTGGCTTCCAGTCCTAAAAGGCTTCTTTGTTCCTGACATAGTACATATTCAGTGTCTCTCTTAATACCTGTTCAACCACTTCTCCCAAGGGACTGCCCTTCTCTGTGCTTTCTCGCTTATTCCAGACATACTTCTCTTGAACTTTTATCTAAAAACAAACAAACAAAATAAAACAAAAAAGGAGCTACTTAGCTTAAGGATGAACCCATCCACATCTGAGAAGGTAGGAGGTTAAGGTTATTAGGAGTCAGTTTTATTTTTCAAGCCCTGTAGACTCACTATGGAAGTGAATACTTTCTAGCCCATTTCTGCATGGAGTTTTATTTATTTATTTATTTTTTTGTGGGACCCTTGCTGGTGCCCGGGGATCAAACTGGTGCTGCATAGGCTGTGGGCAGTCTTGCAACCCAGCATTCAACCGCTGTGCCACCAGGGGAGGCCTTCTGCATGGAGTTTTAAAAGAACACATAAGGAATTCTGAGAGAAATGGTCCAATATGAGTCTTGCTATTGACATTTTTAACAAGATGCTAGGGTGGTTCTGATTTATATCCAGAGTTGTAAACCCCTGACCTACAGATCGTATCTAAGAATCATTACAGTAAAGAATTTTTTTACCAGTTCTGAAAAAGATCTGGAGAAAATTATGGACTCTGGAGGATTTGAGGCTATGACGTTGGAAAAGTCAATGAATCAATCTGGACTTTTACCACCCATGAAGGGAACAGCTTTAGAGCTGCCTCTTTACCTCACATGGATAAATGAGTTTCAAGTTGCGAGCTGACTGTGAGCACAAGGTATGAATGAAATACAAAAATACAGTTACCCCAACCACAATATTAGTTCTCCATAGTCTACTCACACTGAAGACACAAAGAAGATAAAAATCTACTTAAAAACTGTCCAGCACCAAACTTCTGGAAATCTAGTCACCTGACTCAAGAAACGCTCATTTGCAGTTTTAAAATTTTTCAGCCAGGTCGAAGCCTCTAAAGGTTGATCAAAGCGCTGTTTGTTGTATGTGGACTGCAGAAGATCCCGGCAGTTTTTCACCCAAAGATGGGCTAAAAAAAGATACAAGAAATAAACCAGGTAGGATGTGATTGTATTCAACTCAAAATACTCTATGCCTATTTAAATAATGGGAAATGACTTTAATTTCCCATACTTATTTTTTTTAAGATTTATTTATGCATGTAAGAACTATGGTTCAGGCCAGAGGTGATTCAGCAGAGACAGTGGGGAGCAGAACAGGTGGATTGACTGAAATCCACTGCTGAGGGGAGCAGTGGGCGAGTCAGGAGAGGTCTGCTGTGCCATGTGATAGCTCCCTGGCCAGGGATCGAACTCGTGCTGCAGTGGCTGCGGATTGCTCCATAGCATCTTAATCCCTTGCACCACCAGGAAAGCCCCATACATATTTTAAAGGCTTCTTTTTACTTTTTCCTCTGGTTCATCTTAAACATTATTATTACCATCAATACATAAGGCATACCAAGTGGGTTAAAGATAACCTTAGCTTCCTGGCAGTTTTTATTTTTTATTTCTTAAAGATTTATTTTATTTATTTATGCATATAAGAACTGGGGTACAGGCCAGAGGTATGGGGCTGAGAGGATTCATCAGAGATAGAGTGCACTGCTGAGAACAGGCAAACTGACTGAAATACAATGCTGAGGGGAGCAGTGGGCAAGACAGGAGAGGTCTGCTGCACCATGTGGTTAGCTCCCTGACCAAGGACTGAACTCAGGCCATCGCAGTGGCTGAAGATAGCTTGATATTGTTGAGATTTAACCCCTGTGCCACCAGAGAAGCCCTTGAATTTCCTCTTTTTGATGAACCTTGCAACCTGCTCATCAGTAATATCAAGAAGAGATTATGATGAACTATCTTAGACTACTGCATCTAGAGCAATAGCTTCTGCCTTAGCTCTTAGAGCCTGGTCAGCTACTTAAGGCTACAATGACACAAATTAAAGTCACAGTTAACAGGATAACTGACCTCGATGTAGCAGAGACAGAAGGTTCTTGGGCCTCCCTGGTGGCACAAGGGGTTAAGTCTCAGCACTATGAAGCTATCTGGGGCCTCCCCGGTGGCGCAGCGGTTGAGCGCTGGGTTGCGAAGCTGCGCGTGGCCTCTGCGGCGCCGGTTCGATCCCCGGCTGCTCCCCGGCCACCAGAGGAGGGTCCCACATGGCGCGCAGACCTCTCCTGCTGCCCGCTGCTCCCCTCAGCAGTGTACTTGGGTCCTTCTGCCTGCTCTGCTCCCCGCTCTGGCTCTGGTGAATTCTCTCGCCCTCCCGCACTTCTGACTGTACCCAGTGCATGTATAAACAAAACAAACAAACAAGCCAGCAAACAAATAAATAAAGCATGCCTCTATAAAAAAAAAAATAAAAAAAAAAAAAATGAAGCTATCTGCAGCCACTGCAGCATTTCGATCCCCAACAGTCAATCTGCCTTTTCTATTCCCCACTATGTTTCTGGTAAATCCTCTCATCCCCCACGCCTGTGGCCTGTACCCCAGTTCTTATATGCATAAATCAATCTTCAAAAAAAAAATGTATGGGAGGGGCCTCTCTGGTAGTGCAAGGGGCTAATAAGTGTCAGTACTACGAAGCAATCCGCAGCTACCGCAGAATGAGTTCGTTCCCCGGTCAGGGAGCTAACCCACATGGCGCAGCAGACCTCTCCTGTCTTGCCTGCTGCTCCCCTCATCAGTGTATTTCCGTACATCTGCCTGTTCTGCTCCCCATTCTGTTTCTGGTGAATCCTTTCACCCCTGTACTTCTGGCCTATACCCCAGTTCTTGTATGCATAAATAAATAAAAATAAATCTTAAAAAAAAGATCGAAATTAGAAAAAAAGATAGAAGGTTCTTACCATCTGGAATATGCAATATCAGCCAGTTCTGTTTCGCACAGAAATGAATAATATGGCAAAGACTGAGGGTTTTTCCTGTTCCCTTCTCCCCATCTAAAGCATTTGTTAAAGAAAGTATCACCAGAAAGCATATTTCTATATCAACAAATAGCATTCTTGCATTTCTTCTTTTTCCAAATTTGATGAAGGAAAACATTGGCTCATGACCAGGCAGGCAGGCAGAAAAGGATACAGAGAACATAGCGTATAGCTGGATGGGCAAAATTGGTGTTTTTCAGGTAATGTAGTAGCTCTAAGGCTGGGTTCCTCACCATCAGGCATGCTTCATTGAATGTCTTTACCTAATGAAAAAGAGAAGGAGAGAGGGTGGCATATGGAGCTTCTATATAGTTCTTGGTATAGATACTATGCCTAATATAGCAACCAAAAGGACCAAGCCGCCATATTTTTCATTTATTCTATTAGGAGAGATTAGATTAACTTGAATTTGAAAATCAGTCCATATATTTAATCTAAAAACTTAAATACATTATCCTACATCAAGTAACGTGATAGTCAGCTTTTGATTACTTCTGTTAAAAAAAGTACAGAGGGCCTCCTGGTGGTGCAAGGGGTTAAGACGCAACCTATGAAGCTATCTGCCACTGATGCACAAGTTCAATCTCTGGCCAGGGAGCTACCCACATGGTGCAGCAGACCTCTCCTGTCTTGCCTGCTGCTCCCCTCAGCAGTGTATTTCAGTCAATATGCCTGTTCTGTTCCCCGCCCTATCTCTGGTGAATCTTCTCACCCCTCACACCAGTGGCCTGTATCCCAGTTCTTATATGCATAAATAAATAAATCTTTAAAAAAAAAAAAAGATACTGTATCAGTTAATTGAAATTCACAAATAATCCAGACAGATGACCTCATAATTAGCTCTTTATAACACTTAGAGTTGACGTTAATACTAAGAGCATTCAGATGCTTAACAGGGTATCTGACACATGGTAAGCATTGAATAAATATTAATTCTTTTAAATTTATTTTTAGCTAATTCTTATTATATAACCACCTAGACTTTCCTCTAGAAGTAGATACATGGCAGCGAGCAGTGACCAGCTGTATGATGGCTGAGGCCATACTTATTAACCAACAGCACACACTCTTACCAAAGAACTGAGACATAAAATTTATTCCCTTTTTGCCACCAGAGATACTTTAGTGAAAAAATTTGGGAAGCACTGATGTGTGAAAGTAATTTACAAATTAAGTATTTAATAATGCCTATTCATAAAAATAGCTAACAAACACTTTTTCCAAGAATATTATATAAGGATTAAAATAGTGTTGGTATTTTTAAAAAGATCCCAACCAAACAATTGGATTGGAGAAAGAATACAGAAGGGCTAGTAGAATGTATGAGTAATTCCTGCTAATGCACTGGTGGTCAGGTCATTCCAAAAGTAATTTAACATGGTTAATTAAAGGCAGACCCCCACAGCCCTGAATGCACTGTAAGTGTCTTCACATAGTTTAAAGCGCAATCACATATGATTTCTTCTGGTTGTGTCCTATCTCAAACTGAGTAAAATTTTGACACCTTACTGGTTTCGCCTCTAATTTTCTGAAATAAAGTACATTAAAGAAATGACATCGTCTAGCTTCTAAATTAAAATTCACCTGCACAGTCAAGTTTGATATTTCATTGAGAAGGAATCATTTCTAAGATGATTATTCTGAAAATAATTCAGCAGGATTTAGTTAGAAGAACCAATTATGCCAATAAACTTTACTTTCAGCTTACTATGAATTCTTTCAATGAATACCAAGTAACCCAAGATTACATACACTCTTTGGGCTAAAGCTATGACCACAAAACTACATTTTCTAAAAACCAACCCATGAGAATGAAAAAGAACTAGAAAGAACAATGATGCATCAAATCCGAATATCATTTCTGTGTGGCTCAGGAATATATTATGATTCTTTTTTTACAGCACATTAACCATATTATTATTTTAAAGCAAATATTAAATTCATCTTAAATAATTATTTGAATGCTAAGGTTTTTAGAAATCTGTTAGGTAACACAAGGAAAATAGTTGGATATTGTTTATTTGAGAATATTTTACCTGGCTCCATAAAGGATTTAAGGTGATTAAACTTAAATAAATTTAAGTAGGTGAACACTGGCCTAAAATAATAAGGGATTATTTTTTACAGAAGATAATCAATAGTTGAATTTATCTGCATTTTTTAGATTCAAATTTCATCTTTTAAAAGTCTTCTACTCATTTAATTCCACCCCTTGGCTGTCCACAGCTTGTTCTGGGCTCCTTCAATTCCCTTGCCTCTTTTGAGCACCTGCTTTTCGAAGCGAGTAGGAAGGCCATGGGGGAACACAGTCTTCAGATCCTGGAGGGGTATGCTGTAGTGCTGACCTTCATGCTGTTCTCCATGGTTGGCCTATGAAACAAAATGCAAACAGGTATAATGGGAGCACAAACAAAGTGACAGACTTTTAAAAAAGTGGAGAGGGTCGATTAGAACACATTGAGGAATCACTTATTTCTCTGAGAGGGAAAAGGTATCTTTCATTTCTTTTTTTTTATAGAGGCATGTTTTTATTTATTTATTTATTTATTTGTTTGTTTGTTTTGTTTTTATACATGCACTGGGTACAGTCAGAAGTGCGGGAGGGTGAGAGAATTCACCAGAGCCAGAGCGGGGAGCAGAGCAGGCAGAAGGACCCAAGTACACTGCTGAGGGGAGCAGCGGGCGGCAGGAGAGGTCTGCGCGCCATGTGGGACCCTCCTCCGGTGGCCGGGGAGCAGCCGGGGATCGAACCAGCGCCGCAGAGGCCGCGGGCAGCTTCGCAACCCAGCGCTCAACCGCTGCGCCACCAGGGAGGCCCATCTTTCATTTCTTATCTTAGATTAAAAATGCTGGTTGCTGTGTTGAAATTCACAGTGTGCATATAAAGCTGGTGTTGACCTGAATGATGAGGCCAGTTGCTCAGCAACATAAACCCTAGATGTAGTGGTATCAGAAACAATTCTTGCCATCTGGATTCTTATGTGCTGTGTATAGAGGCTCCAGTCATGTGACAAGTTCATCTGCATGCTGCTGTTTCCATAGAAACCCCAGAGGAATTGGCAGATAAAGGGATTAAAATTACATGGAAAGCCGAAAGACACTTCAATGACTTCATTCATTTATTCTATTTCATTTTGTGTTTCGAAAGTAGGTGCATGCTAGAGACATAAATAAAACACACACTGCTGAGATATGGTTTTGGGTACTGAGAATATTTTTTTTCCTTCCATACTCAGAGCATATGTTAAAATGGGGATATGCAGAAGGTAGGGGTAGGGGCAAAAAACTGTTGGTTTCCTTACATTTAAGCACATACCGCATGACTAATTTCATTTATGAGAAATAGCAATAATGATGAGAAGGAGAAAAGAAATCAACATCTAGCCTAATAGGAACTAAAGTAGAAAATGCAATGCTGGATATTGTTAGAATCCTAGCTTCTGCTGCAAACTTCACTTTAAGTGCTGTTCTTACCAACAAATCAAGTTAGTTACTGTCCAGATACTAGGAAATTCATTTTGAAAGGTGGAAAATAATATCAGACTGGGTATTAGGAAAATTGGGTTTTGTACCCACTCTGCTAAGTGATCATGAACAAGAAAGTTGATTTCTTTACAATTCTGCACAAACCAAGGTTGATATACTGGCTGGCTACCTGTTTTTATAAATAAAATTTTACTAGAACATAACTATACCCATTTGTTATGGCAAAGGTAAGTAACTGTGACAGGGATCATTTTGGCCCATAAACCTAAAATATGTACTATCTGGTCCTTTAAGGGAAAATATGCTGACCCATCTTAGTAAAATCAGTACTAACTGCTAAATTTAACTTCTAAGGAACTGACTTAGTACTTACTATGTACCTACTGTGTACACAACAAATCCCTGGTATGAGATGAGTTCAATGGTTGGGACTGAATCAAAGTAGATGTGGACTGACCTGCCATAGTACTTTACGTCACAACAGTATCGGACAGGAATGGGAGAAGATCTGGGTTCAGATTGCTGTTTCGTGTGTACTATCTGTCTCACACTATGTAAACCTATTTAGCTGCTGTGGATGTCAGTTTTTCTAGATATATAAAATGACAGCAACGCAGGTGACAAGCCCTGAAAAAAACCCTTATGCATATTAGTACTCACCGGGTCATTTTCACTGGTTCGAGAAACAGCTCTGGAACTCTCAACTGGAACGTGGTTATCTAGGTGAGCAGCAAGGCTTTGGGGTGTCTGGATCCCCGTATGCAAGAAATGTCCAGGGCCCAACTATAAAAGATATCAATTTCACATTTTGGAATTATCAGGCTTTTTATGCTTGCTACAGCACCAAGGTTTTAAGCCATGCCTACAGTAGGGAAAAATGTTACTAACAAACATCTACTTTTATGTAAAAGGGATCCATGTTATTATTTATAATTCTCTAAATCCTATGCTATTACTCACACTCTAAATCTGTTTCAGCTTGTGTTGCTATGTCAGGGCTTTGTTCCACATCGAAGTAAACAATTCCATTAGAGACTGCTCAGGAGCATAGCACAACCATTAACAAACCAAAACAGGAAACTTTTTTTAATGCTCTTACTCAGCGTGACGAATGGTGGCCAGTACTGGACAATTCTCAGATGTTTACTTTAGAAATCACAGTCATCTCAGTTATTAAGGGATTAGTGCAATGTTATTTGAAAGATAAGTAATTATACATTACACTCAATTTTTCTTGCTATCTGTGTCCTGGAATAAAGTATCTTTCACTAGGTCATATAATGAGAGAAACTGTAAAGCATCCAGCTCACTGAAAGGAAACCACTTTATGGACCAGTTTGGGAAGTAAATGAGGAAACTTCTGAACTGGGGAGAAGAGAAAGGATGAGATTTCAGGAGACAATCCTGAAGAAATGCTAACTAGAGAATCCCCCAACTGAGTGTAAGGATAAGAGGCCTTATATAGAAATGAAAAGATTGAATTACTAAGGAATGATGAGGGCAGAGGGAGAACAAGAATTTGAGAGATGGAGATACTAAAGGAGCTGCTGGATAAATCAACAGGTACTATGAAAGCTGCCTGTATTTATATTTAGTCTCACCAAGTAGCTTCATGAGTGCAGAAAATGTACCTTTCCTCACAACACTATACACTTTTACAAGACCTTAGACTCTCTAATTGGTGTTTTTACCTGTAAATCTTTGACTCTATCTTTCAGTCCATGAGATTTATCCCTCCAAATAATTGATTAATCTTCAGTTAATTAAAAAGTTAGGATGGGTTGCTTCTAATGTCAAAGTAAGTCTGAGTTCGCAGCATGTTACTCATGGCCCTGTGATGACTACCTCTCTCTGGTTTCATTTCTTTATGAGCTCTATTCCAGTCACATGACCATGCTAAAACATGTTGTTTATTTTTATGCCTCTGTATTTCTGCTCATTCTACTTCAATTTCCCTTTATACTTAAATCTTAACTTATTTCTTTAAGGCTCATCTCAAATATCATATCTTCTGTGAAGATTTGCCAGATACCACCAGTCAAAAGTAATTATCTTTCCTTCTCTGCTGACAGTACTTTTTTTTTTTGAAGATTTATTTATGCATACGAGAGCTGGGGTACAGGCCAGAGGTGTGGGGGATGAGAGGACTCACCAGAAACAGAGAGGAGAACAGAACAGGCAGACTGAAATCTACTGCTGAGGGGAGCAGCAGGTGAGACAGGGGAGGTCTGCCGTGCCATGTGGGTTGCTCCCTGGCTGGCCGGGGATTGAACTTGTGCTGCAGGGGCTGTGGATTGCTTCGTAGTGTGGTGCTTAACCCCTGTGCCACCAGGGAGGCCCGCTCACAGTACTTTTATAGCACTGCATGACATTTTTACTGTGCTGTGAACTGCATTCATGGATTTTGGTGAGAAATACCTATTAAGATGTTAGGCAATATAGTATTTTACACATATTAATTTTGAGGCAAGATCCTGAAAGATAAATAGAATACTACCATGCCTGTTTTATGATGGGTGTGATGAGTTTCAAGAAGTTAAGAAATTTTGCCAAAAGACAGAAAGTTGCAGGCGGTGAAATCCAAGTTTGTTTGGTCCCCAAATCTATTCTTTTTTTTTTTTTTAATAGAGGCATGTTTTACTTATTTATTTGTTTGTTTTGTTTATACATGCACTGGGTATAGTCAGAAGCACGGGAGGGTGAGAGAATTCACCAGAGCCAGAGCGGGGAGCAGAGCAGGCAGAAGGACTGAAGTACACTGCAGAGGAGAGCAGCGAGCAGCAGGAGAGGTCTGCGCGCCATGCGGGACCCTCCTCCGGTGGCCGGGGAGCAGCCGGGGATTGAACCGGCGCCGCAGAGGCTGCGGGCAGCTTCGCAACCCAGGGCTCAACCGCTGCGCCACCAGGGAGGCCCATATTCTTTTTTATTATATCATGTTATACACAAATGTTTGTCTCCTGTTCTAGGTCACACACACTTGGAAAAGAAGGTATCACATTTTATTCATCTTTGTATCTCCTTCTTTGAGTATCTAACATACCACAAATACTTTGTACTAGTACCCTAGAAAAAAAATCTTTTGTTAGAGATGTGTAATCGGGGAGTATGTACAGTTTCTAGTTTAGAAAGTAAACTGTACTACTGCATGCAAGTCAGTGAACTGCACACAGAAATCTCTGAACCAGAACTTGCATATTTAATATAAAGTAATAAGGTAGTCAGATTGTTTCACCTTTGCCTGAGAATAGCAGAGACAGCAATGTTCATAAAATACCAAATACTCTACATTTCTCAGCCTTCCTTGTATAGATTTGGGTCATGTGAACTAGTTATGGCTATTGAACTGTGAATGGAAATAACTTGTGTTGATTCTAGTCAGAGCCAGTTAAGAGTAGCTACAATCTCTTTCTTTATATGCCATAGCAATCTTAAACTCTACAGGCTGAGATAGCATCCAAAGATAGTGAACCTCTGTCTATTCCCTCCCACAATTTGCCTAAAAACCATTTGGAAACCAACAGCAAGAACAAAATGCAACAGTTTCACTTACTGTGTTAAGCCAATGAGAATTCAGAGGCTGTTACCCCAGCATAGCAATCTGAATAATACACTCTAGTATGGATTTTACGCAATTTTCTCAATTCTATTGAGAGCATCATGCCTCTAAAAAAAAGTGACAAATGGAAAATGAAAGATATTTACAGGCCACAAGATGGTGCTATTTCTACAGGAATCCTTTGACTTTTAAATACTGTTTGCAGCAAATTAAACACTCCCAAAATGGATTCCTTACTTCTTATAGTGTTATATATGGAATCATCCAGCTAGTCTGTTTCCAGGGAAAACAACCATATGTACAATTGCCTTTGCACAGTTCCAGAATGAACATTCTACAGTTCCTGAGAGAATAACGTTTATGAGCCAATTAAACCAGCCTACAAGAAGCACAAAATTCTTCTGATATCTATGCAATCTGGGCTTAGGTTTTTCTTATCTATGATGGAAGAAGAAATGCCAGTCTTTCAATATAATCAGTTGAGGCCAGGATCCACCTCTCTGTTGAGCTTTTTAAATTTTCATTTTATTTTATAATAATGGATTACTTTAGAAACACAGGTTTATTATGAACCCCTAGAAAAAAAGATGAATCTTATAGGAGGAAAGGTTCCTTTTTTTAGGATATCTAGTCTATAATTAAATGATCAGATGGAAGTGACTAAGCCCTCTGGCTCATCCTTCAGGATTCAGCTCTGAGAGGATTTCCTCTGGATCCTACTATCCCAACTCCTCCTAGGTGCTGTAAAAGTACCATAGTATAATAACTATTTTTGCATGATTCTACTATTGGACCTTGAGGTCCTAGAGAACGTGGACCACACAATGCAATAGCACAATGATTAAAACCACAGGCCATAAAATTACATACATCAGGTACAGACTTGGTACCTAGTCTGGGCTTCTTTTTTTTTTTTTTAAAGATTTACTTATTTTTGTGTAGAAGAACTGGGGTGTAGGTCAGAGGTGTGTATATGGGGTGTGTGTGTGTGTGTGCGTATGTGTGTGTAAGAGGATTCACCAGAGACAGAGTGCAGAGCAGAACAGGAAGATCTACTGAAATACAGTGCTGAGGGGAACAGGGGGCCAGACAGGACAGGTCTGTTGCGCCATGTGGGATAGCTCCATGGCCAGGGATTGAACTCATGCTGCAGTGGTGGGGGATAGCTTGATATCACTGAGACTTTAACCCTTGCACCACCAGGGAGGCCCAATTTAGTCTTTCTAATCCCGTTTCTGTATGTTTGAAAAAAATATATCACATATTGCACAGGGTGGCCATAGGATTAAAAGATATAAGGCACTTAGCACAGTGTCTGGAAAATACTGAATGTCAAACAAATATTAACCATTATTAGTGAAATGAGTCATCTTAGAATACCAAGAATCTGCCATATGGAAGGCACTGAAAAATATTTGCTAAATAAGTGACAGAACAAAGTAAAGCAACAGAATGGTTTTTAAAATATATGCTTTCATTATTTTATTCAACTATCAAATGCTAAAGGTTTAAATTGCAAACTTATTTTTTTGGAGATAATAATTACTAATTCAACTAAAGAATGAGTTAATAAAGATAACTGCAACCAAGTTTATCTATTTCAAAAACGCTAATTCTCGGGGCCTCCTTGGTGGCATAAGGGGTTATTAAGTGCCACCACTATGAAGCAATCTGCAGCTACTGCAGCACGAGTTCAATCCCCAGTCAGGGAGATAACCCACATGATGCAGCAGACCTCTCCTGTCTCGCCTGCTGCTCCCCTCAGCAGTGTATTTCAGACAGTCTGCCTGTTCTGCTCCCCATTCTGTCTCTGGTGAATCCTCTCACATACCCCCACCTCTGGCCTGTACCCCAGTTCTTGTATGCATAAATAAATCTTTAAAAAAATAAAAACGCTAATTCTCCTTGACACGGTCAATTCTCAAGCAAAACTATTTTACTGAGACCTGTTACTTGAAGATTTCTAGGGCAACAGGGAATGAAGTGTATGGACACAGAAATGGAATTGTGATTGTTCTTTTGAGCGTAAACTTACAAATTAAAGCAATAGTCAGCAGAAGTTCTCCAGAACATTTGATTTTAGATATAACAAATCCATGTAATAATAAATTCATCTAAAGAAAGTTGCACAAACCATTTAGGCCAGTTAGAACTCACCTTATGGACCCTGGAGATAAGCCTTGTCATTCTTTTCAGCATTGTCCCTGCACTCTTAAAAAAACAGTAAAAAATAAGCCACAACTGGAAAAAGATACTTGCACAATAGATTAACATCTATAATACATAAATGCCTACAAATTGGTTTATACATATACACTGAGAAGTCTGTGTAACAATATCCATAGTGGTAGAGCATGAATTACAGAAAAGTAAAAAGTACAAATGTCTGTTGACAGAAGAGATGCTAAAGATATGGCCACCTATTGGAATACCATACAGTAAGTAGTAAAACTTAGTTATAACTATGTGTGACATGGGAACCTCTCAAAAACTAATACTGAGTAAAAACTTATAGATAGCATAAAATAATTTACATAAAATTCAAAAACATGAAACAACTCATTATTTGGAGAACCTTTCCTGCTCCTTTTCTCTTTTCCTTAACTCTGCCTGGTGTATACCGCCTCCACGGCTGTCTGACACCACCCAAACTCACCATCGCCTGTGACCTAATACAACTGTGCAGACAATTCCCAGCTAGGGCCTGGGAACTTGGGATTTCAGGAGCCCTCCAACCACTCCCAGAACTATTAAGGGTGGGTCCCTGTGCCTCAACTGTATACAAACCATGTGATCTATGCTTTCCTTCTGGGAGTCTGGAACTTTTTTGTACATGCTAGGTATGTACTATTAATGACTACATGCCCAGCCCCAATAAAAAAAACCCTGGGCGCTATGACTGAGTTTCCCTGGTTGGCAGCATTTCATGTGAGCTATCATAACCTGCTGCTGCAGGATCAAATTGTCCTGTGTAATTGCACTGGGGAAGGATTACTGAAGGCATGCACTTGGTCTCTTCCAAACTTTGCCCAAGGTACCTTTTCCCTTTGCGGGTTTTGCTCTGTATTCTTTTGCTGCAATACAGCAGACATATATGTAACTACTTGCTAACTTCTGAGTCTCTGGGGAATCACATTATTTGTGGGTGGTCCTGGCAACCAATAACACAACCACCTAGCATGTTAACACCATACAGCATCTATCTCCACCTGGTACACAACACCACTCAATGCCCATCTCTGACCAGATAAATTTTCTGAACAACAATTCTTCTCAATTGTTCCCTACTTCAACTCCCTTCTCCATCACTGTCTTCCTCCACCTGTGACCAGCTAACCCCCAAGCCAATTCTAATCTTTCATATCAGCTGTTTTTCAACTGAAGTTTTTCACCCAATCTCAACATCTCTACTTCCAAAATTACATACGACCCCAATATCACTCCAAAGTATCTGGCCCACCCTACCCTGCTTCTTTGCTCTTCCCAATGCTTTTGGAGAGGGTTTGGGTACCAAAAAGAAAAGAATGAGTGACAAAGTACTGACATTACTTCTTTTTACCCTAGACAAATGCCTTCAGTTTCTTAAAGCAACCATCATATACTACAGGCCTTTTCTCTATTAATAGCATGAACACTCTTTAGGTCTGATCTATCAATTTTATTTTTTTAAAGATTTATTTATGCACACAAGATCTAGGGTGTAGATTAGAGGTGTGTGAGGGGTGAGGATTCACCAGAGACACAGTGGGGAACAGAACAGGCAGATCTACTGAAATACACTGCTGAGGGGAGCAGCAGGTGAGACAGGAAAGGTCTGCTGCGCCATATGGGTTATCTCCTTGGCTAGGGATTGAACTCATGGCTCAGTGGCTGGCTATAGCTTGACAACAGTGCTGCGTCTTTAATCCCTGTGCCACCAGGGAGGCCCCATTTATTTATTTTTAAAGATTTATTTTCCACTTATGCATACAAGAAGTGGGGTGTAGGCCAGAGGTGCAGGGGGTGAGCAGAGTCACCAGAGACAGAGTGGGGAGCAGAACTGGTGGAACCACTGAAATATACTCCCAAAGTTCCCTGGCTGGGGATTGAACCCATGCCACCAGGTGATAGCTTGACAGCACTGAGACTTTAACCCCTGAGCCACCAGGGAGGTCCAGCAACCCTTTGAGAGCTCAGAAATAAACTCTGTATCACAGTCAGTTGATTTTTAACACAGGTGCCAATACAATTCAATAGGGAAAAGAACAGCCTTCATTAGTGGTATTCTTTTGCCCACACGTAAAAGAATAAAATTGGACCTCTCAAAATAGGTCATATGGAAGTACTAAAACTGTAATGCTCTTAGAAGAAAACATGATTAAATCTTTGTGACCTCCTGAACAAAATACCTATCATTCATTTCCTAAAAATAAATGTTTAGAGATATTTGGAGAAATAGAAAAATAAAAATCTTTGTGACCTTGGATTAGGCAAGTTTCTTAAAGATGCCAAAAGATCAAGTGACCAAAAATAAAAATAGATACTTGGACTTCATCACAATTAAAAACTTCTGCTTCAAAGGATACATCAAGAAAGTAAAAGACAACCTACAGAATGGGAGAAAATATTTGCAAATCATGTATCTGATAAAGGACTAATATCCATAATATAAAAAGCACTCTTTACAACTCAATAATAAAAAGACAACCTAACTCAAATGGACAAAGGATTCAAATAGACATTTCCCTAAAGTACATGAAAAGATTCTCAACACCATTAGTCATTAGGAAAATGCAAATAAAAATGCAAGGTGAAACCACTTTCACAAGGATAGCTAAAATCAAAAGAATAGACAGTAACATATGTTGGGAAAGATGTAGAAAAACCAGAGCCTTCATACATTGTTGCTGGGATTGTAAATGGGAGACCCACTTTGGTAAATAGATCAGCAGTTTCTCAAAAGGTAAAATGTAGAGTTACCAAATGACCCAGCAATTCTACTTAGATATCAATAGAAATGAGAACATATGTACTGTAAAAATTTGTGCACGAATGCTCACAGCAACATTACCCAAAAGAGTAAAAATGTGAAAACAATCCACATGTTCATGAATTGATGAATGGATAAACAAAATGTGGTGTAGTCATACAATATTGTATGACTTCAGTAACAACAAAGGAAATTTTGATACGTGATACAACATGGATGAATGCTTAAACAAAGGGAAAGAGGACCTCCCTGGTGGCGCAAGGTGTTAAGACGCAACCTGTGAAGCTGTGAAACTGTCTGCAGCCACTGCAGCATGAGTTCTATCCCCAGCCAGGGAGCTACCCACTTGGCACAGCACACCTTTCCTGACTTGCCCGCTGCTCCCTTCAGCAGTGTATTTCAGTAGACCTGCCTGTTCTGTTCCCCACTCTGTCTCTGGTGGGTCCTCTCACCTCCCGTATCTCTGGCCTGTACCCCAGTTCTTGTATGCATAAATAAATAAATAATTTTTTTTTTTTAAATACTGATGTATTTATTTATACAAGAACCGGGGTAGAGGCCAGATTCGCGGGAGGTGAGAGGATTCACCAGAGACAGAGCAGGGAACAGAACAGGCAGACTGACGAAATACACTGCTGAGGGGAGTAGCGGGAGCGGCGGGAGAGGTCTGTTGTGCCATGTGGGACCCTTGTCGGCTGGCTGGCCGGGATCAAACCAGCACTGCAGAGGCTGCGGACAGCTTCACAGCGCTGCACTCAACCACCTGCACCACCAGGGGAGGCCCAATAAATAAATCTTTAAAAAAAACAAAAACAAAGGGAAAGAAGTCTGTCACAACTGACTAAATGTAGTATAATTCTAATTATATGAATTGTCCACTAAATAGGCCAATTTTTTTTTTTTTTTAAGATTTAGGTTATTTATGCATATAAGAGCTGGAGTATAGGCTAGAGGTAAGGGGGGGGCGGGGGCTTGTGTGTGTGAGAGGATTTACTGGAGGCAGTAGGGAGCAGAACAGGCAGATTGACTGAAAAACACTGCTGAGGGGAGCAGCAGGCAAGACAGGAGAGGTCTGCTGTGCCATGTGGGTAGTTCCCTGGCTGGGGATGGATTGAATTCATGCTCTAGTGGGTGTCGATAGCTTGATAGTGCTGAGACTTTAAACCCTGAGCCACCAGGAAGGCACAATAGGCCAATTTTTTGAGACAGGTAATTAGATTAATGGTTTGCTAGGGGCTGGGAAGAATGGAGAGTAACTACCTATAGGCTTTTTTTTTTGGGTGGTGGGGGGGTGATAAAAATATTCTGAAATTAGATGGTGGTAATGGTTACAGAATTCTGAGAATATACTAAAAACCCAATGAATTGCATACTTTAATGATAATGAATTTTAAGGTATGTGAATCTTAATAAAGCTGTTATTAAAAAAAATGTTGCTATCAGGCCTCCCTGGTTGTGCAGGAGTTAAAGTCTCAGCGCCATCAAGCTTTGGTCAACCACTGTATCAGCCATTGTGGCATGAGTTTGATCCCTGGCCAGGGAGCTACTCACATGGCGCAGCAGACGTCTCTCCCTATGCTCCCCTCAGCAGTGTATTTCAGAGGATCTTTCTGTTCTGTTTCCCATTCTGTCCCTGGTGAATTCTCTCACCGCCACCCCCCTCCTTCCTGCACCTCTGGCCTACACCCCAGTTCTTGTATGCATAAATAAATAAATCTTAAAAAAAAGTTGCTATCCAGCCCTACTAAAACAGCTGCAAATGAAGCTAACACATGCTGATTTACTACCAGATGGCAGACACTGTGCTATATACATTAACATGCTTTATGCTTTTTATCCTTACAGCATCCTTTGAAGACCTGCAATCAGCTGTTCCTGCATATCAAACCACCCCAAAACTCAGTGGCTTAAAACAATACTATTTATTATTGCTCACAAGTCTATAGCTATAGGCTGGTTCATTCCTTTTTTTTTTTTTTTTGTTCCATATAAGAACTGGGGTGTAGGCCGGAGGTGTGGGGGCTGAGAGGATTCATCAGAGACAGAGCAAAACAGGCAGATTTACTGAAAAGCACTGCTAAGGGGAGCAGCAGGCAGGACAGAAGAGGTCTGCTGTGCCGTATGTGGGTCATGGCTGGGGAGGGAACTCAGGCTTTGCCAAAGGCAGGCTGTAGTAGTTGCTAATGCTGAGATTTAACCCCTAGGCCACCAGGGATCCCCTGGTTGATTCTTTTGTTTTGGG